GCCTTCGAGAAGTACTAGGAAGTAAAATAAAATACAAAAATTAGCTCAGAAATATGTTATCAATGTTATTCCCACCTTAAATGCGGTATCATTGTCTGCCTTGATTTGCTCGCTTCCCTCTAGATAAAGCTTGCCCAGAAATGCGAAACCGATTGCATTGCCTGCATTAGCAGCCTGTGTGAAATACTCCAAAGCCTTCTGGTGATCCTGCTGGATAGCTTTGCCGCCCTGGTAATATAGCTGACCCAGTCCAACCTGCGACTGGACATCGCCCTTGTCGGCCAGCAGCTGGTAATAGTCCACAATCTCTGTCTCGTGGCTGCCGGGGTTCTCTAATTCATCAAGCAGACGCACTCGATGCACCACCGGTCCATTGGCGAATGTGATCTTAGAGGCGACCTTTTTTGCCACCCGCTTATACTGGATCAGTGCCTTCTCACAGCTGATTGGCACATTGATGCCATACAGATAACGATAGCCCATGGCCATCTGGGCCAGGGTGTTGTCACCCAGGGAGGCCAGCGTGTAGTGAATTAGGGCCAGTGGCTGGCTTACGTTCTTGCCACCCACTCCCGCCGAATAAAGGAATCCCAGCCCCATGTGCGCCTCTGGGACGCCTTCGTTGACCAGACTCTCGAACTCATCTGCGGCATGGTTAAAATCAAACTCCATCCAGTGCCCCAGGAGAACGGCCCAGGCCAGTTCAGCCCTGGCCTTGAGGTGATTAAAGGCGGCGGCCTTTTTGAGCAGGGTGAAGGCCACCCTCTTATCCGTTCGCGGCTTTGCCAGCATGTCCATGGCGTTGTCGTACATGGTTTGAGCTGAAAGTCTCAGGATCAGGAAATGTTTTGAAAGTGTATAAATGCCCACTTACCTTCTATCTGCTCTGGTGTTAGTTCCACCACCTCAGTGGGCTGGCGTTTAGCTTCGATTCGCTCGATCTCGGACTTTAGCTTTTGCTGTCTCAACAGGCTATCGTTCCAGAGGCGTTCGAGCAGGGCAGCGTGCATGACCTTGGTGCGGGAAGCAAACTCCGTGGAGTCCTTGGGCTTGGCCGCTTTTCGTTCGTTGCTCTCCGCCGGAGCCCGTGACTCCGACTCGGCCGTGGTCACCTCCTCCGCCTCTGCCTGGGTGGAGGGTTCATTGGGCATGGTCGGAGTGGCTGTACCTGTACCTGTCCCCAAGCCCGTACCCGTTCCAGTGCCCGTGCCTGTGCCCGTACTGCTGCCAGCGGCTTCAGTGTTGGGCCCTTGGAGCTCCTCCGCCCGCAGCTGCCAGGCGAGGAGCAGAGCCAGCAGGCACATCCAACTGTTGCCCTTCATCTTCAGCTATCTACGTGGTCGGGGCGGGGGATGGCGTGATGCCTGATGGATTTCCACCGATAATTTCGATCTTCTTCGAGTCTCGTCTATCAGCTGCCTTTCCACTTCTGACGTGTTGTGTTATTTACTTCTTGCTCGGGACGCTGCGCCAGTGGAAAGATCGATTGCTTTTCTCGGTGCGCTCGTTCGGCTTATCGCTGGCTCATTTTAGCCAGCTGCGGTTGGTGGCTGAAATGACCTGGCTCTCTTTTCTTAATTATTCACACGTAAGATTCTTTTTTAATCTTTTTTGTTGCAATGCTTATAGTGCTGCGAACGGGCCGAGGTTTATTAGGCCAGTGTTGCGAAGCGTAGTCCCGAAAACAGAAGTGTCCAAGGACGGGGCGAGAAAAACCTATGCAGGGGTCAAAAGGGAAATATGTATTACAACACTGGAAAAAATGTTTTTATTACAAAGAATGTATAATTTTTATAGAGAAGTATAATTTTTTATACTACTTGTGTTGCAATAAATATTTAGATCGCGAAACAGTTTAACTATCACATAATCGATCATTCATAGTTTTTAGCGAGCATGTTAATATTATAAAGGCGAATATTTTTGCACAAGTATTTCTCGTTTAGAAAATTAAATTTGTCAATACCGTTTTTCAAATTTTTTATGAAAGTTAGAAAAATAACCAAAAATAACCAAAACAGTATACTTAAGATTTATTTATTTTTTTATAATAAACGTTATAGAATGGGTCAATAACCAAATACAAACATCATCTTTCCACTTTTTGCTCAGCCACCTGCGATCAAACAATACATCTTATTTTTGGGGGGCTTTAAGTAACGGCTTCCTGTCCCCCCAGCTACGCCTGTGCATTTTCCGGCTGTTGTTTCGTTATGCAAAGGAATGCACAGATCCAACAGAAGTGAATCGAATTTTATTTGAAGCTGTTAACGTGCGATCGGAGGTGATAATTCCGAGCTGGACTAATTAGAATACGGGGAAGGTCTGCGGTCCGTGAATCACTCACTTTTGTCTCGATCGATCCCGCCAGTCAGCCAGTGAGCAGCCGGCATGGAGATGAGTGTAAGTAGTGACCTGCGTGCCAGACACCTATGTAGGCCCAAAACCCAAACGCCAGCCCAAATCCGAAACCCGAAACCAGTTCCGAGCCGCGTTTCGTTCGAGTCAGTCGCACAGCGAATCACTATTTAAGCTCGACCGCTAGCGCTGGTGAAAGTTACAGCTGTTGCGTTTGCTCCTCTGACAAAAATACTCACCTGTCACCTGCACCCTGATCCTCCTCCGATCCCCTGTGATTCCAGGCCGCCATGTTCGCACGAGTGTCCTTTTACCCCACCCTGCTGTACAATGTCCTGATGGAGAAGGCCTCGGCCAGGAACTGGTACGATCGCATCGACGAGCATGTGATACTGGGAGCCCTGCCCTTCCGCAGCCAGGCCAATGACGTAAGTAGCAAGGATTAGTAGTAAGTCAGGAATCCTTCTAAATCCGTGTTTAAACCCGCAGCTGATTGCAAAGGAAAACATGAAGGCGGTGGTGTCGATGAACGAGGATTACGAGCTGACCGCCTTCTCCAACAACACGGAGAAGTGGAGCAAGCTGGGCATCGAGTTCCTGCAGCTGGCCACCACGGACATCTTTGAGTCGCCCAACCAGGAAAAGCTTTTTCGCGGCGTGGAGTTCATGAACAAGTTCCTGCCCCTTCAGCAGAGGATTGGCGGTCTGAGTTCCTCTCGGTTGCCGGAAAACGTAGGCTCCGTTTATGTACACTGCAAGGCGGGCAGGACGCGCAGTGCCACATTGGTGGGCTGCTACTTAATGATGGTGGGTTTATATTTAACTTGAAGAAGACTTTCAAGAGCTCATGACTTGTTTACTTTACAGAAGAACGGCTGGAATCCGGACCAGGCGGTGGACCACATGCGCCAGTGTCGGCCACACATTCTGCTGCACACCAAACAATGGGATGCCCTCCGGTTATTCTACACAAACAATGTGCAGGCCAAGTCATGACCAAAACCTGACAAAAGCCAACATTTATTGCTTACAGTAGATTACCATACGTAACAAAGGTGGTGCCTGTTACCGAACTATTTTAGTGCTGATTTTCTTGTTAAATATACAATTTTCTACAAACGAACAATGTGCATTTGTTACTTTTTACAATTGTTTATTTACTGCTTATCGCGAAACTATGAATAAATAACTGGTGTTTCGTGGTTCTTCAACTGGTCGCTCTCGACTTTTAAGCCTTCTTCTCGGCATCCTTACCCTTGATGGCCCAGAAGCGTTTGATGCCATTGGCCAGACCCACGTCGTTCTGGATAAAGTAGAAGAGACCACCCAGCGTGGCCACCGATAGGATGATCAGTGCAATGTGGGCCACTTTGGGCAGGACGTTGCCCACGACAGAGGGCCGCATGTAGTCCACCACCATGGCTTCAACGCCCCTGTAAGTTTAAAAACAAGAAAATTAGTAATACTTTTTTTTATTATAGATAGGTGTAGAAAAAAATGGGATACTCTTTTACAAAAGGAGTAGATTTTTATTTATTAAAAATTACATTCTTTAAAATTTATAAAAGTTTGAATTTTTGATATTTAAGAATTCACATTTTCTTTGCTTTACATATGTTTATATACTCTTTATAATTCCGTTCGTGCTAGCCGCAAAAATACCTTTCTCTTATAACATTAAAATAATATTTATATTGTTTCTTGGTTATGAGTATAAAATTTCAAATAAGAAAAGTCTTAAACCTAGAAAGCAATTTGTGTTTAATTTCTAGATAATAAAAAAATATATATGGATGGCGGAGTAGATACTTACCAGTGAGTGTGGATGACGACAGAGATGGCCAGGAGGGCGTCCAATACCTGGGATGGGGCAATGAAGGCAGCTGGGATGACAGCCAGCAGGCCGGCGGAAACAATGCGCTCGATGGTCCACAGCAGGGTGTGACTCGATTCGGCGGATGCCATGCGCGGCGCACTCACGGAGATCTCACGGCGTACAACGGGCTGCAAAAGCAGGTGGGGATTGGCATTAGCTGTGTGCCCATCTGGATTACAATTTCCAAACACATACCGCAGCAATCTTGGCCAAAGCCAGGGGCTGGACCAGTGTCCGGCGCTGAGCATTAGCCACCAAAGTGGAGTAGCTCTTCAGGGGCGTGATGCGGGCCGACTTGACGAGATTTGCGGCTAAAAGCGGATACCAACAAACGGTTTGGTTATATAATAAAAGCTGTTTTACGGCTTATAATCGGGTAATTGACCAGCCCGGAGGTCCTTACCATTGCAACGGACAGCGCCACGCAGGACCATCGAGAGGGACATTTTGGGATGTGTAAAAATTGAGAATTTGCAGCTCAAAATAAAAATTATATTGCTCCGTGAGACGTTTTGGGCGATTTGACTATGAAATTTCACAGCACTGGACTTAGAGCTGCCTGCTGTCTTCGATTTATCACTGTTATCGATATACAGTAACGCCTGAAATATTAGCACCGCATGAAAGTCAAAAAACTTTATTAATAGAGTTGAAAACTTCATAAATAATAGGTATTTTATCTATTGTATTCCAAATAAATTATAATTTACTTTTAGATGTTTTATAATTTGATTACTCAAATTAAGTGTGTGTATGTCACTTACAATTCTGATTTAATTATTTTATTAATTTAAAAATTTGCTTGAGACATTCGAAAGTTCACATTGTAAGGCACGCAATTAATCCTAAGTCACTATATATTTTTGTAAATTTGTAAATTTCGTTGGATGGAATTGGACGGAATAATTAAAAAATGCTTTGATCTTAATAAGCCACTAAACTAATGACCAGGGCGCAAGTCGTGATAATAACTCCAGTCAGTTGTAAATCGAGCGTCCCTGCTCCTGCTCGGTAAAAGTCCCAGTCGAAGACCAAGTTAAAGGCGTCCGATGGCTTCCACGGGTTCAATCCATCATCGAAGAACATGGGACAGTCGTCGCGTTCTCGCTCGTACTCCACGGCATCGATAGCCACCGCAGCGCCCTCCGAGTGATTCCACGAGGTCACGTCCTGCTCCAGTTTGCAGAAGGCCCCCACAGCCTGCGACATGAGGACGCGGTTGAGATCGGCACGTTGGTAGACCCAACAGCGGTACTTAGACAGTGGATCCAAATCATCATAGGTAATTAGGTAGGACTTTAGATTCTCCTTCCAGAATCCAATGCATTTCATGCGATAATCCGGATCACTGTAGATATCAACAGGTCGACCCAAGTGATCCACGGACAGGCAATAGTTTTCATCCACCGCCAGTTCCTTTTGATCAGTATCGCACACTGACAAATCTGAGATGTTCTGCTTGCAATGAATATCAGGACGGGGACTTAGAGTGACACCACCAAGAATCCTGAAAGATATATGGTAAAGTAAAATATTTGCTTTTATTTAAAATAAAGGGCATTACAAACCTCGTTCTGAAGGGATGTTCTCCTCTTTGAGTAAAGTTGAATTTACCCGCAACGGGACACCGAACAGGAACTGGATTCCGGGCCAAAAAGAGGTCATATTTCCAGGCCTCAGAATTGGGAAACTGAACCCACGAGCAGACCGTGCTGAAATCGTCCTTGATCACGGCCAAACCCTTGCGGTAGCGAATAATGTTGTGGTGACGGGGCATAAAATCAAAGCACACGTAATCCTTTTGGCAACCATCGACAGTCAGGCGAGCCATCATAACACGATTGCCACGACGCTCCCGACACACATAGATTGTCTTACGATAGCGGGCCTTGTCCGGGTAGTAGGTCTCGTTGATGTGGGTCTCACTGATCGAGACATCGGCGTCGATGTTTGCCGTGTTCACCCATTCGCCGCTGAAGTTTTGAGGCAGCGTGCAGCCGGGTTCCACGAACTCCGCCTTTACGGGCGTAAGCTTGAGACGCTCGGGCGAGGTTTCTGGCGTTTTCAGGGTGTTGCACTCGGCAGTAATGGAAACACCCACGTACAGATCGTCGTCACGATTCTTAAGGAAGCATCGGTACTTCTCGTCCTTACGCGACTCCTTTGTATTGGCAACCGCAAAGTAATGGTTCTTGCCCACAAACCAATCGCCCAGACAGCTAAACTCCACAGTACCGGTGAATGTACCCTCCATGCCCTCGCACTGCTGGTAGGTAACGTTGAACTTTTGGTTCTGGATGAGGAACTGGGTGCCCGCTGTTTGGCAGGACTGAATGCGAGCATCCGGCTTGTCGCACACGCCAGTGAAGCGGAAACGGTTCTACAAAAATACAAATTTCGGGTCTAAGTCAATTGTTTTGCAACTAATTTCCAAGCTGGTAGGTAATACCAAGATGTTTTCTGGTTTCAATTTAATAAGTTAAACAATGAACACAGGATTAATCATTTGGTATGTTTAACTTCTCTTTGCTTGACCAGAACGTCAGCCTTCTCAAAAATTGGTTTGGACACACTTCGTGCCCTAACTTAGGATATATGTTTTGGCCAACAAAATATTAGAGGGACCACCAAGAGTTAAGCCCAATCTACGGATCTACAGTACTAACGCATTGAAAACACACAAGTGATTCGAAAACATGCATAGTCCCAGTCCCAGCCAATTTATTAGGCTTTACGTTGCCGAACTCACCTGGTAGGTGAAGTGCCAGACCCCCTCCAGCGAGGAGCGGCAGTTGATGGGCACGAAGTTCTCATTGAAGAGCGTGATTAGCTGCTGGTCGTCCTTGATCCCGCGACAAACATACTCAACGGTGGGCTCCTGGCCATCGGGTATGCCCAGGCACGGGCCCTCAAACTTCTCGAACACGTTCACGGTGCGGATGATGGTGCGGACGCAGTGGTAGCAGTTTTTGGTGCGTTCCTTAAAGACGAATGAGTACTCGTCGCCCCTATGGCGCAAATAGTTGATGCATTGGCCCCTGCTTGACATCGAGGTGGCGTCGATCACCGTCAGCGTGGGCAGGCCTGTTTCCCAGGAGAACCACGATCCCTGCAAGATCTTCGGTATGATGCAGTTGTCCCGCTGTATTTGATTGTACTGGCCGAGAGCTGGAAATAAACAAACGTGAATTTCGGGTGGCCAATTCCCATGATTCACTTGGAGCCTTGGGTGTGGCTTGTAAATCAAATCACTGACCTGAGCCCAGGAAGCCCGCTAGGCAGATTGCGCCCAAGTAATAATGCATTGTGAGTTTGGTATCTTTAGACCTAACAACTAAACATAGTTTTTAGTGTTTCACTACTTTATTAAAGTAATTAAAAACAGTTTTACTCTTAAACAATTATAAAAGACGCAACAAACACAAGTTACAGATAGCCAAGCCGACTTGTCCAACACTGACAACACTAGTAAAGAACCAACTTGCAATACTGATACCCATCTCGGATTTGTATTTATCGATTAATTATCTACAAACAGTTATTTTTTGAATTTAAAACTATGAATAATTAAGGAAAACTATTTATAAAAGTAAACTTTTTTTAAAAATGTAACCAAATGATAAATCAAGAGATTTTCTGGCTGTTTATTTATGTACAATACGGCCGTCAAAATTTTGTATGAACCTTTTAAATTATCAGAAGGAAATAGCAACCTATCATATATGGAACGACTGTCGTTGTTTTCCTACTCAGGAACAAATCAACCAATTTTTACAATTAAAATAATCTAGCTGATCATTGATGGATAAATTTACTGAAAAATTACGGTTAATAACAATAGTTTTTACGTTTTATCATATGTATTGATTAGCTTTTTTCAGTATATTTGTGGCGCACGGAGCGCACCATAATTTTATAAGAAAAATTACTGTAAAAGTTTATTCAACCAACAAAAATTTGTTTTGCCTTTATTATTAGTATTTTAGCCTTAATCTAGCATCTTTACGACAGAAAACCAGACAACAAAGAGCTGTAAAACATTAATCCTCCGACATGATTTTATAAATAATTATGCAAGTTGATGTAATCGACTTATATTTCAATTTCTTATAAGTTTAAGAATTATGTAAATATTATGTGATTTGTTTTTATTTGTTGTATGGTGAAAATTGTAATTTAATCTAATCGGAAATATTACAATGTATAATATAAAAGCCTTAGTTTTCAATTATAGTATTTAATTAAAATCAAGCTCAAACGTTTTATTATAGAAGTTCGAAAGTTTTGTGGCTTGATAATTTTCAAGCACGGGAGGTTTTACTAAAATTTTAAAAATAGATTGGGCACTATTAGAGGGTTAACGCTGTCTGGGACGACAGAAACGAGCACATCGACCTTTACACGAACGCCCCCGCAATTATTCACCCGACTGCAGTTTGGACCTTCTCGTCACCTGTTCCTAAATAGCACACCGATTTTCACAAGTGGCGCAGCTAATCGGGTGATTGGTGGTGCGATTATGATCTCTGGCCAGATACAATTGGAATGTGATTCACATGCACGGAGTTCCTAAGCTGCTTATATAGTCCGTTTTGAACTTTGGAGCCCCATACCAGTATGAATGGCGTGTCTGCTGATAAGTCCGGCGAAGTGTCTAGGTGCATGGTGTTAGTGCTGGTGCCTCCATCCGCGCCTTATCAGCCGGGGTCAGCTCAGAGTTCCGAGCATGATCAGACTGCCCGATTCGGGACCAAGTCTATATGGGAGCAGCTCGATCGGAGGCCTGCCAGTATCAATTCAGCCGGTGCCAGCAACAGTTCACAGCGATCCGATTCCGTTTCTCCAGTAAATCCACACAAATGGGTTAGTGACACGCGCTGCCTGGGAAGGTTATTCCTCTAACTTTCCGATCCCTTCAATACCACTTAGCAACTGCAACCAGCGGCAGTGGACTCCATCTGGAGGCCATCGATCGCCTCGGCTCCATTCCCCTGGTGGAATCCAGCGTGAAGCGAGTTGAGAACATCTACGACAAGGTCAAGAACAACAATAGGCTCTTCTCCTGGTACTTTGAGACCGCCGAGGCTACCATCTCCGCGGCCTACGACACCGTCCAGCCGGCCGTCAAGCTTTTCGAGCCCTCCATTCGACGCCTGGATAACGTGATGTGCAAAAGCCTGGACATCCTGGAGCAGCGCATCCCACTGGTCTACCTGCCGCCCGAAATGGTAAGTAAACGTCCCCGGCCACTGTCCCCCATTCGCTGACAAAAGGGCATCATTCTCTGCTTGAAGATGTACTGGAACACCAAGGAGTACATGTCGGATCATCTGGTGCGTCCGGTCCTGAAGCGCGCCGACTCCGTCAAGCAGATTGGGAACGCGGTGCTGGAGAGCCCACTGACCACCTATGCCGCCGAGCGCATTGATGGCGCCTTTACAGCCGGCGACAAGTTTGTAGACAAGTATCTGGTGCCCATCAGCACGGATCAGGATCAAACAGATGGTAAGTCCTTGGGTTACCTTATTTAGAAATAGGGGAATAGGGTTGGTCCAAATTTTAGAAAACAAACTTAGATTTTCTAAACTGTGGGTCCACATTTCTCAAAAAAAAACTTTAGCTATGAATAGAATATTAATTAAGAGCTAAATTCTTTAAAAATAGTGCAATCTCAAAAATATATTCCATTTTCTATTTTCTATTTTTTTAATTCTGTATTATTCAAAATTATTGTAGTTCAAAAATTGCTTTTGACCCTGGATGGTCATACTTCGTCAATTCGACTGCACTTGACTCGAATGTTTGGCCAAAAAAGTTAGTATGATAAATAATATTTTAAAAATATTAAGACAATTTATATTTTTTTAAGTAGATTTAATCGAAAGTTTTTACTTTACACCTAAAAACTTTTAAAAAACCAATAATTTGGAATTTTTGTACAACGATAAGTCAATACTCATAATGAGAAAGATATATATTTTTTAAATGAAATCGAACAAAAGCTAAATCATTTTGAAAATCAGCCTCCAGGCAAATCGATTCACCCTAAGGTGCACTCATAGTTTATTTTTAAATGGCGACGTCGTCGGGGAGGTTATCACTTGGGAACTGCGAATTCATTCGAATCCGCAGCTAGTCGTGATAAGCCTTGGTCGGGATCCGCCGAAATCCGCTCCCGCGGTTACACAAAAAATACAAAAATCAAATTCGCATGGAGATGGGCGAACTCACAAATTCCGAATATCCGCTTTGCAGCCCCGCAGGAGGATGATAACGAGGCGGTACCGGACGAACGGGGCGCCCTCAAGGCGATCCATCACGGTCAACGCTTCTCCCGCAAGTTGAAGCGCCGCCTCACCCAAAGAACCATTGCAGAGGCGCGGGCCCTGAAGAAACAGAGCAAAGAGGCCATCCATGTGCTCATCTATGCGGCAGAGCTGGTCAGTATAAATTGCAATTGATAAGAACTAGTCATTTAGAAAAATACATGTATGGGTATACAAATACCTATGTATGTGCTTTAGGCTTGTCACGGCTTACTATCTTGAACCAAAGAATTCGCGCTCGATCTTTAAATCTAAAGAATCCCGGAAATAATTAATTTTTTTATATCTACGATACAAGGGATTTTTAATGATAAGAACCATATTAATTTATATAGTCTGAACAATATGTAGTTACGGCTCGGTTTTCGCTATATATTAGATATTTTAGATAAATAATTTGTATCCTGCTTCTTAAATATTAATATGTGATTAAGCCTTAATATACTATGATATCATACATCAAATTGTTTCTATAGATTGCCACCGATCCCAAGCAGGCCGTTCAGAAGGCCAAAGAACTGTGGATTTATCTCAGTGCGGATGAGCCTGAGAATCAGGCAAGGCCCGCCACTTTGGAGCAGTTGATAGTGCTCCTGACCCGCGAATCGGTCAGACGAGTGGTGCATCTGGTGAATTTTAGCGCTCATGTGGCAGCCAATATACCCAGGTTAGTTTAGAAGAATGCAGATCCATAACTTTTAAAACTAAGCCGTACCTTATCCTGACAGAAACCTGGCGCACACGACCACAGAGGTGGCCCACCAAATCATATACATCAACAACCGCATAATCACAATATCCCGGCTGGACAAGGTGAAGACTCTGTCCAAGGAGGAAGCTGAATCTCTATTCAAGCGCATGCTGGCGTTCTACGGCAGTCTACAGGGTCTGACTAACACCTACCTGGTAAGGATATCATTAACGATTCAATTAAACTGGAAGATCATCCAAAATATATACCGTAGGAACGTGTGGCAAGCTTCTTATCCGGACGCATGGAAGCCGAGAAGGTGACGGGCAGCGACAGCGCCAATTCCAATCACAGTTCCTCGCGGAGACGGCAGGAGCAGAATCATTACTCAGCCACCCACAATAACATCAACGGCGTCTACTAGCATTGAATTTTTTATTGCTATCGTATTCTTATTTCTTATGATAGAGTTCTGTTTCTCCGTACATATACGCACAATTCACTAAACGATATATTTTTTTTACAAAATGCATTTGCCAGTAATATAAGCCCAATATCAAATCAGACTAACATTTTTCATTGAAGAACAGAATCATGGCAAGTGAAGCGTTGGGAAAGTTCTTTTTTTAATGCCAGAGTGCAAAAATTATACTCATTAATATGGTACAGGAGCGAGTCCCCGGCAACGGTGTACGGTCAACATCCTCGGAAGTGGAGTTGGATAATAACGCACTATCAGATGCACAAAGTCATGGTTCAGATAGTCATCCACAGAGGGCATGTGCTTTTTGATAAAGACTCTATCAATATGGATGAATGGGCCGGCTATAGGACAGGCCTTTCGTGGAACATTGTTCTTAAGATAGTTTAGCATCAGATCCTCGGCCTGCTCAGGCTTGACACTCGAGTTCCTGCAGCGGTCCAACACTCCGAGTTCTCTAGCGACCGACATTTGAAAACTTCCCGATTTATAGAATTTCTCTTCCGGATGGTTGATCGCGAAATAGGGTCCCACGGACTTAATATTGCCATCCTTGTCCGTGATGAAACAGGCAAAGTTTAGTATTAAATCCGTTTCAGGGTCAGAGCCAGAGTTGTCCATATCTATCCAAACTATATCCGTGCTCATTTTGCCAACTGTATAGTGAGCAGCTTTTATAAAAAGTGGTCAAGCAAAGCGAACTGCATGCTCATAATGATTAGATAAGAGCCGGTGGTCATAAAGATACCTTTCGAGTTCTTTATTTATACCATTTTGTGAAGTACCCAGCAGTCAATATAGCACTTCTGTCGCATTTCAGAATTGATTTTATATACATCTGAATTTACTAAGAAAAACAGAATAAAACTGCATTAATTTACTTTAATGGGATTGGTCTATGTAACCAAAAGGAGATTGCAATCCTAACGTAAGTCTTAAGTCCTTGCGATAATTTATTTGAAGAAGTTGGCTTTGTAATACTTGAGCTCGCTGACGCTCTCGAGAATGTCATCTAGGCTGCGATGGGCGAATATCTTCTTGGGAGCAGCCTTCTCCACGTCGGGACGCCACCGCTTGGCCAACTCCTTGATGGTGGACACATCCACGATGCGGTAATGCAAATACTCATCCACCGATGGCATAAATCTCCTGATGAATAGTCGATCCATGTAGACAGAGTTCCCGGCGAGGGGGCAAACGCGCTTTGGGATGTTTCTCTCGAGATAGGACAGCACCATATCGGAGGCCTGTTCGGGCTTCACATCCGAGCTCTTGCAGCGATCTACCAGCCCAGATTCGTAGTGGTGCTTCATGCACCACTCGTTCATGTTGTCGTACACCTCCTGAGGATGGTTTATAGCGAAGCAGGGACCCTCGGATTTTAAGTTCAAGTCCTTGTCCGTGATAATGCAGGCCACCTCCAGGATTTTGTCTCTTTCTATGTCTAAACCGCTCATCTCCAGATCCATCCACACGATATCCGTGTCCAACCCACAAACACTCTGATTGCTGCTCATCCTTCCTGTTGAATTGCGAAGGGCAGAGCACTGCGTTTCCAGAATCCGTCGACTTACAAGCAATCCCAAACGCTGTAGTTGGTGGAGCATTTATTATGTTGCTTAAATGTTTTAACAAGTAGATTCTTTGATAAGAATAACATGTGCAGGTGCTTACTGCAATGACATTTTACAACACCAGAAGTTGAAAGATAGGGGGATTCGTGAAAATTCACAAAGCTAACAAAATTAAAAGAATTCTTTTTTTATAACGGTTGTTCATAAGATTAAGTATATAATCTTAAAAAATAAGATTTTCAATTTAATATTTTGTATATTTATATATACTTTTGGGATAACGGATTTAGTTTGAGTCACTAGCGTAGTGGTATTTCAGGACAAATCTGCCACGGTCAAACTTTTGACCCTATAACGGCAATTTCCAACACTGCACTGGTACAGACCTTGCATTTTTATCAAAAATTGTTGGTAGGGAAAAGAAAACGCAAAAGCGTTGCTATTGTCGCAGCATGTCCTCCTCATCGACCAGAGACCAGCCGGGAACTTCCCATGAGACATTCGAGGACTTTTATTCAGAAGTAAGTGTGGCGGGCGGTACCGCAGGCTTAGTTTTAGACTGGGCCCGAGTCTGGCTCCTCCCATTCGGAACCGCTCTAACTAAACTAAACTATTAATATTATTTACACTTGAGTAAACGATTTTGTGCCTATATTGCAGGTGAAAGAAATTGAAAAACGTGATTCAGTTTTAACTCCTTCTCAACAAATTGATCGTTTACTTCGTCCAGGTTCAACTTACTTCAATCTCAATCCGTTTGAGGTGCTCCAAATCGAGCCCGAGGTCGAGGTGGCGGACATAAAAAAGCGCTACCGCACCTTGTCGATCCTCGTCCATCCAGATAAAAACCCCGACAACCAGGAGCGCGCTCAAATGGCATTCGATATTGTGTCGCGTTCCTGGAAAATCCTGGAGAACGAACTCACACGCAAGAGGTGTCTGGAGGTGTACGAGGAGGCGAAGGGGCGAACGGATCAAATGGTGAGTCTTAAATCCTAAAGGACCTATAGTCCGCCGGTGTGGAAAGCATCCATGTTAAGAACCTCCATATAGTAGTATTGTGGAGATATGTAACTCTCTGTGGGAGGTTATTAGATTTGAATTCTATTTCGGTAAAAAATGTAGTAAATAGCTATGTATCTTTTATAATCTTTTGAGAAATATTAATAATTTCATTAATCTTAAATTGTCCGAAATTATCGTCACAAGACACAAGATATAGGCATCCAAGTATTTTGAAGCAGTAGAAATAGACAGATTGTGATCTAGAATATATTTGCTTCTTTGGGTCGAATATGTCTCCCTCTAGAAAGGTATAAAAATAGAAATCAAACTATGCTTAGATTATTCTTGTGTAAAGCTAGATGGATTAATGGCATGCATCAGAATAAATAAAAATCTAGTTCTTAAGAGTTTTTTCTTATAAAAATGCATATAATATAATATTATTTTTTTGCTTTCTAGATTGCAGAAAAGCGAAAAAAGCTTAAAAAAGAGGGACGGCCAACTGAGCCAATACCCGAAGACGATCCCACCAAGTACAAGCACGCCATTTACGTGATGGTCATGAAACTGTTCGCAGACATGGAGCGCCGGCGGCAAAAGCTCGATCAGCGCGACCAGGAGGAGCGCAAGCGGAAGCGCGAAACGGAGATTGAGGAGGAGGAGCGAGTCAAGGCGGACAGAGAGTGGCAGCAGAACTTCGAAGAGTCGCGCCAGAGCCGCGTTAATAGCTGGCATGACTTCCAGTCCGGGGCCGGCAAGTCCAAGAAGGCTAAGAAACAAAAGCATATGACTGGCATGATGGTGCCGCCCAAATTCAAGCCAGAATCACGATAATACTGCTTCCCAGCGCGGCGTCGCTCCTCCACTATCGCCAGACCATCTCCGCCTCCACGCGTCGCGTTGCACATAAATATTTTTACATTTTTTATAAGTATCCTTTGGAATTGTAATTGACACGTGCATAATGTATAGATGTAAGAAATCACATTTCTGTCTTGTCTTTCCTCTCACGATGGCGATGGCTCGGTCAGCTTCTCAGACTACAGTTCCGTGTATAGGGATGCGGTGAACACAATGTCACGCTTGATTGCCGCCGACGCCTCCTCCATTTTGGACTGCAGTCCAGGATTGCCGATTCGTATGGCGGCCGTTTTTACATCGCGCAGGGTTTCGTCCAGCTGCTGAATGCAGCGCACAATGATGCCCTCTTGCACTTCAGTCAGCTTCATAATCTCGGCAAATGGCTGTGGATTAGGTTGAGTAGACAGTTATGGGCCACACATTTTGGTAAAGTAGATAAAATAATGAAATTCTTACCTTGTTCTTGGCCCATTCGTAGACCACCTCGAGCAGGCCGAAATTTAGACGATTTTCGGCCTCTATTGCAGCCTGGAAGCGCTGCTCCTCGGCCAGAATAGTATCGTTGATTTGCTCAAAGGCCGCCACGCACTTCTTTAGTGGCTCTGGAATGACCGGCTCACCCTGGATCTTTGCCTGAAAGACTAGGCCAGAAAGCAAGGCGGCAATCTCAGCCGGCTCAAGGTCATTAAACATGTTGCATAGAATGAGCTCCGTGATCAGCAGCTCGTTCTGACCCATCTCACAGGCCACCTTGCCCTTAAGTGTGACCTCGTCCAGTTCATCTATGTATTTGAGGGCCCGAAGAACCTGCAACTTGTTGCAGTAATCCGGATAGAGGGTTAGGTTCTTGGCGGAGTTCTTAAAGCGCAGCTCCTCGATGTGAATCTCCAGCATGCGCCGCTCGTAGACCTTGGCGAACTCCTGCTCGAAGCCGGCAATGTTGGTATGCGGCAGGAAGTCGCCCACCTGGCGGAACAGGTGATCCACATAGTTAAGCATGGCCACCTCGCTGTCTGCGTTCACGTTTATCTCCTTGGATAGGTTTACGTACTTGATGTTTTCTGGGTTTGCATTAAAACTCTCATTAAGCTGGTGCAGCTCGGTCACAGCTTTGACCACGGTTCCACCGGGCGGGGTGTCTTTGAAGCGTTCCAGCTGACGTTGCTCCCAGTTACGGATAATCACATCTGCATCGACTTTAAATGAGTTCTTGGTGATGCTGATAATGTCCATGGCCTTTATGTCCAGCACAGTGTGCCCTCCAATGCCCTCTGGCTGAAAGATTTTGTTCTTGGGCGTCAGAGAGAGTATTTTGTAGTAGAGCTCGCCCCGCTGGAGACTGTCACTTTCCTTTGTCTTAAACTGGTGGTCCAGCACAAGCACCTTATAGACGGTATCCTTGCCTGGGACGGATTTGGTGTTGAGTAGAACGGCCAGCTTATTGTAGTGCTTGCCCTGGGTGATGACAATGACGCGGCCCACCTTCAGTTCCTTCTGGATCTTGGCCTGGGTTACAATGAATTTCTGAAAGGAATAAACTAGATAAGAGCAAGTACTGCTGTCGTGCTCAAATGTGGACTCACCATGATGCGGTGCTTCTCCTTCCAGTACTCCACGGCCTTGTCGTAGAAGTTTACGAGCGGCTGCAGATGATCGCCGAGATTTGGGAGCATGGCAAACTTGTCCTCGGCCAGGCGCAGCTGCTTCTGCTGCGTGGGTAACTGCAGCTTTTGGTTAAACTCCTTAAAGCTGAACTGCATGATATCTTCCACTTTGATGCTCTCGATGCGCAGGCAAGTGAGGATCACGGCATAGCGCAGGATGAACTGGGACTGCAGCTTCTCGGGTAGGCCGAGGATCATCGGGCGCAACTCCATCGACGGCGGCACATTACTCTTGCACAGCAAGATCACCGTTCCCGTCTCGTCATGTCCACGTCTGCCGGCCCTTCCGGCCATTTGAATGTACTCTCCCGGCTTTAAATTTCGCATCTCAAGACCGTCAAACTTTTTGCAGGAATCAAAGACCACCGTGCGAGCGGGCATGTTAACGCCCATGGCAAAGGTCTCGGTGGCAAAAAGCAGCTTCACCAGTCCATTTTGGAAGAGCATCTCAACGATCTCCTTGAGAATGGGTAGTATGCCGCTGTGATGCACCCCAATGCCCCGCTCCAAAGCGTCTTTGAGTACGAGCACCTGTGGAATAGTGCGATCTGGAGGCTTCAGTTTTGCTAGGCACTGCAGGAAGAACTTCTGCACTGCACCCTTCTCCTTTTCCGTGTTGAGATCCACCGACTGCAGAGCGGCCACATTGGAGTCACATCGATTCCGGGACAGAGTAAAGGCCACCACGGGCATCTTGTTGTTCCGCCGCAGAAAGTCAATTAGTCCGATCCAAGTGTACTGCTCCTGCTTGGCATTCACGTAGTTCTTGGGACCGCCTCCGCCACCCTTGGCCTTGCCCTGTATCTCCTTCTTGCGCTCGACAGCCTTCTCGTAGTTACCTTGCAGATATTTTCCCTGGGCGTCCACCAGCAGGAAGATGTCGTCACGGCTCTTACCGCCTGCACCAGTGTAGAGGAAGTGCGTCAATGGCACTGGTCTTTTCAGAGTACTGATCACATATACCTTCCTCTTCTTGGTGCTCCCAACCCAATCCGCCAATTCCATGGTATTCGGCACAGTTGCACTTAACATTATAATATTGACATGGTCTGGCAGGAGAATGATCACCTCCTCCCAGACGTGACCTCTCTCAGGGTTGTTGATGTAGTGTACTTCATCGAAGATCACCCACTCTAAGTCTCTGGTGACTTCGCTGCCACAGTACAACATGGAGCGCAGGATCTCAGTGGTCATAATCAGACAGGAGGCGGTGGGCTCTATCTGCAAATCTCCTGTTATCAGACCTACGTCCTTGAAGGTCTTGCGGAAGTCGCGGTACTTCTGATTGGACAGCGCCTTGATCGGTGACGTGTATATGGTGCGGGTGAGATCCCGCTTGGACAGGGCGATGGCGTATTCCGCTACCACAGTCTTTCCGGCGGAGGTATGAGCTGCCACAAAGACGTACTGACGCTGCTCCAGCTTGAGAATGGCCTGCTTCTGAAAGACGTCCAACTCGAAGGGGAATTCCATGGCCGGGCAGGGTATTTGCTCCTTAAAGTCGTTGATCGGATGGCTGATGTCCACCATCTCGGCCCAGTCGCTCTTGAAGCTCTTCGTGGTAGTGGAAATGTTGAGCACTGGTTTTAGATCTGCCTTCATGATCTGATCGTCCACGTCCTGAAACTCTTCTGAGGGAAATTGGACATTCCGCTGGCCGGGACTTTGAGTGACTCCAGAGGAGATTGGTTCCTCAGTGCGGGTGAGTTTCATCCATTCCTGAACGTCCAGGTCCTGCTCGAGGTTTTCTAGTAAATCCACGTTACTTGGATCAGAAACCACAGGCGGCAGAGAAACAGGCTGCGACTCTGAGAAGTCATGACCTGATGTGAAGCCTGGAGGCACCGTCAGCAGTTTGTCTCCGAATTGGAAGTTGTCCACATCCAGGTCGGCAATCTGCTGCCGCTGCTCGTCGAATCCGCCCGGCCAGAAGGGAAAGTTCGAGTGGGAGCCACGCGTTGCCTCCTCCAGCAAGCCCGGCTCCCGCTGCATGGACATCGAGTTGTTGGCATTGGCGCCCACATCTTCCAGGTCCACCTCGACGAACTCCAGTATCTGGCCGCTCTGATCCCGGCGTGGAGTCAGTTTGGTGCTCCCGGGACAGCGGGGTACATGCAACAGGCGCATAGGATCAAATTGACGCGGCAAAACATCCGGCATTGGGTTGTGCAGCGACAGTTCCGGGCGCAGGATGTAGTTGCGCAGCCTCTCCAGGTTGTCCTCGCCCCTAATCTCACTCATTTTATTCGTTCGTTGCTAGCAAAAAAAAGTTTGTTTAGCATTTACCAAAAAGCCAAGCAAAAGACAAACAAAAGAATGGGAAAAGCATTTTGATAGCTGGTCACCCTATAAACCGGTAATCAGTTGCGTTCCGAATTCCACTAAATATGTGGTAATTTTTCGACTTGAATTAAAAATAAATAAGTTTTTTCTAAAAAGTATTAGCCCCAGAGACAATTTTTTCGTGGGCTAGAAAAGTTTTTATATATATTGGTGAATTAGTCGTGTGAATTATTTATGCAATACGAACACTTTGGAAACAACTCGTAGTATTATTTCTTAAGACCGATTTTAAAAACTTGTAGTTTTGTAAATAAAAAACTAGTGAGCTAGTGAAAAAATAAGTTTATAATAATATATTTATATGTACTACATAAGAGTAAGACCAGTAATGAATATTCGTCACCTAAGTGACAGCTGATCTGGGCAACTCCTGCTCATCTCTAATGCACTGTTAAAATACATAAATGGCACGCTGTAAAGAATCAGGTTTTCCACACGGAATACTAATGAATCTGGTTACTTTTTGCGGAATACCTCGACCTTGAGGGGGTGGCACTTGTCGTCTGGCACCTCGGCGCCCACCTGGATGGAGACATCTCCCTGCGGACAGGCGCTCAGGGCCACCAGCAGATTCATGTCGGCCACGAACTCAATGAAATCTCCCTTGCGGGCGGGACTTGGCTTGCAGAAGTACTGATGCGTTTCCCGGGTGAAGCCAGTGCACATGAAGATGTTCCACACGTCGTGCACATCCTGCTCCGTCAAACCGCGCTCCTCCACCACCGCCTTGACCAGGGAGCTGTGGCAGCTGCCAACCCGATCCTTGCCCGTGATCAGCTTGTATGTGTAGTCGTCGCATCGAGTTCCGATCACATCGTGTAGAGCACCTCCGTCCTCATCGATCCCGTAGGCGGCCAGGGAGTCGAACACGAAGGTGGCCATGGGACGCAGGTGGGGCAGGCAACTCCACAGACGATCGTAGACGCTCAAGTGCGACGAGTGCAACTGCCTCGTCTTTCCCGAATAAAAGCGCTCGGCGGTATTCTCCAGGTTCCAGAAGTTCATGTCGCCCACCTGGGAGCCCTCGTGGACGGTCACTCGGCACAGGTCGCCCGTCTGCATAGTCCAGGTACGGGCCTCCCGCTTGGGCACCACCAAAGTCTCCACCAAATCGCCAGTCAGGGCCTGGAAGCGCTTATCCTGAAATCTCCCAAAACTATTAGTTCACTGTGGTATCTTATTCCAGGGGTAGAAAGTTATCTATATAGAATTTAAGCTTAAAACTTGAGGTTATCATGATTTATAATTATTTTGAATTTATTATTTATTTTTATTCGCTTATTATCTAATGAAACGTACTTTTTCGAGATGGTCAAAATTATTTTTAAACCCATAGACCCAAGAAAATACGCTTGTAATTCAATAAAGATTACTTATCACCCAAACTATTTATGAAAAAAAAACACATTGGCAAGCCACACCTGTACGTATGCCAGGTTAACTTACATCGTATTCCTCCTTAGAAACAATTGAAGCCTCTGGTTTATCGTAGCAGACTACTGGCGAGTGAGTCTCAAATGTACGGGGCTTTGGCATTGCGTCCACACCAGGAAGCGGGAGCAGGGGTTTCAGTTGTAGCAGAGGAAGCCATGGCTACAAAGAATAGTGTTCCACTAAATTCAACAGGTGGGCAGCCTCTTACACTCACCTTTTCCAGCAAGTAAATACGTTGTGGTCTTATCAGCGGACAAATGCCAACTGATCTAGCTTTACACCTAGATGGATCAGGTTAGTTTCTGGTAGAGCTTTCGATAGACACAGCTTTGCTCGATCGGCTTTTAAAATATTAGAGCACGTTTATCGTTGTTAAAAACAGAGTTTATTTATTTATTTTAATACTAAATTTATGAAATTCGACCGAGAGCGATCAAACTGGAATCAAAAAAAATAAATCAACAAAAATCTATTATTCTTCTGGTATGGTTTTTTATGACGAAACATTTCTAAACTATATAGCAATCATTAATACATAATGCCGTTTTCGAACCTATCCTACAGCTGGCTTTCTTTCGTGTGCGAGGGAGATGCTAATCAATTGATTATACCTAAGTTAATTCGAACCTAAACTAGACATTGTATCTTCAAGCTTTTTGTATTTTCTGCTCCTATGTCTCCATCATGGTGACCTGTTGCTGCTGCTCGCTAAATGGTGGCTCGTTCTCGATCTTGTCCAGCAGTTCCTCCAACAAAATGCGCAGCTCCTTCGAGGAAAACTCCTGCGGCAGTGGAAGACGCTCCAGCGCCACTTTCAGCACAGATGATGGCTCCATCTCGGGGCAGACAATGCACATGCCGTGCACCAGACAGCTGAGACTCTGCGAGATCTCGCTCTGGCAGAGCCGGTGCTTGGAGGTGGGACACGGAAGCAGGCTTATGCGCGAGCAGAGTTCGCTCAGTTGCGGCTTCAAGTTCTCCCAGCGGGCATTGATATCCGCAATGTTGGTCACATTACGGATCTGCTTGAATTTGGCACTAATGTCGATAAAGTCCAGGAAAATCTGGCCCTGATTGGCCCAGTTGGGCACTCGGATGCTGCTGCCCTCGGTGTCCTCGAACTGGATAAGCAGACTGTGGAGATAATCCATTTTTCCTGGAAAGTAAAATTAAAAGAAATTTTATAGGAAAATAGGATCCCTTTTCTATTATAAACCTACCGTTTATGATGGCATCGGGTGCAATATATTGGAATATAATCTCGTGCGCCGGTCCGAAATGTTTAGCTTTTAACAAGTATTTAGCTTGAAGGTGCCGCTTTCCTGAGGCACCGGCCTTGACTGCCTTCGCATAGTCCACCCATGACATCGGAATACCCAACTCCTCGACGACAAAGCGCTCTTCCGCATTCAGTGGCACCTTTGCGGATACACTCACGTTCCGCTGCAGCAACTGCTGAACTGCTCGTTCCCTTTGTGGCCGCCGTTTGATGTGCAGCAGCACAAAGATGCTCCAATGCCATAGTCCTTCGTTCTCCAGCTGGCTAGCGAAATCAACCGAGAGACGCGCCTCCGTCAAAGGCGAACAGTGCCGATAGCCAAGAGCTCGCAAAGTTTGTAATAGCAACCAACTAAAATTAAGAAAAAGGTTTGTATATCGTACGTGATTTGACCGTTATTTAAACTCACCTTAGGCGGAAGTCCATTGGATCGGCAGTGTGTGTTATCGGATTGAGCGTCTCTTCTAGGGAGTGCGTTCGCTTCGAGTAAAGCTGGAGTAAGTGGTAGCGGAGGTCGTACACGGGTTTCTTAGTTTCAGTGGGTGCGTCCTTATAGATGGGCTTCGGTGGCTCTGCATAGCACTCCTCCGCTTGGAAAGCCTTGTTATAAGCAATAAGGGCATCCGTAATGGTAGAGGTTGGGGCTGTAAAGTACCACAGTTGCATGGCCAGCACAGTCAGCCAGTTGTTGTCCTCCAGCAAATTTATGGCCCCCTGGGAAGACTGCATCATGGGCACTCCGGCGGCAAGCATGTACATCTTAAGGCGCTCCAAGTCGATGTACTTGTCCGACTTGCTCTGCTGCCAAGCATAAAGCTGCTCTTCCATCAGCAACCGGAAGACAGCTCCTGAACTCAGTTGGGCTAGCACGAGAGCCAAGTTGGCGTCGTCATAGTTAATAGCCAACTCACAAGCCTCATTTACCCGGTGGCAGCTCAGCAACTCCAACATGTGATCCAAATAGGTGTGACTGCTTACCTTCTTCGAGAGCAGATCCTTACCCATCAGCGTGTTCTCAAGCCACTCGGATAAAAGATTGCGCCGGCACATGACCATGTAGTGAGAGTTCTTTTCCAGGTCCACTAGCTCATCGTGATCGCCCCAAAGTGCGAACAAAAGCGACCACACGGACACGGCATACTCCTCTTTCAAGCCAGCGTTCCTCTGCTTCAGCGACTCGGAAAAGTGCTTTGAAACCAGTTTTGTTCCACTGTCGGGATGTATCCATGGGCACTCACTGCCCTCCACCTCCACGGAGAGGCAGTCGCTCAGCTGAACCTGTAAATGGGGAACGATGCTCTCGCAAACGCCCTCGTTTCCTTTGACCATGTTAAACTGCACCAATTGCATTACATTGGGTGACATATCGCTGGACAAACGTGGCACAAAAACCATAGAGGCAGGCAGGAATGGTCCAGTAACTATGACCAACCAAAATTATTATTAAGTGACTCCTTTCGTTGGGAGGATAAACTTACATTCTTTGAGGTTGCGCATGTTGTTGTATGTGTTGGGTAACACCAAGGAGTTTTGCGGGCCAAAGCTCAGCTTGAAGCTGCGTCCCTTGTAAAATCCGAGATCGGCGATCCACTTATGACGCGTTTCATGAGCAATGGATCGGGGCAAGGGCACCGTGGTAGCGTGGACCTTAACCGGAGCGACTTTCGGTTTGCACACAAACTTGAAAGCTTTAACGACAGCCGACTCCGTCTTTTTATCCTTTACAGGTGCCACGATGCTGCCAGTGGCCATCGACGAGGTCTGAAAATTGTGCTGATGATTAAAAAGGTTTGAGGTGATTAAAATTTAAAAATTTACCCCGTCGTAGTTTGCATCGCACAACAGGCTGGCTTCAGAGACAGAGGATGAGACTGGCAGTGCAGGCGATGGGTGTCCAAAATCGTATTGACTGGAACTCTCGGAGGCTCCATCTTTCCAAGTATTGGACTCCACATTGAAGAAATTACGATGGCGAAGAAGCCGTCCAGTCGGTTCTGAAGAAAGTCGCCCATTATTTAAAGTTTAATGTTTTTAAAAATGTTTATGAATTGGTATTTCTTTATAATGATTCGTCTATGGTTTGAGCAAAATGAAAATGTTTTAATGATTAATTTTTTAAATAAACATATACAATTGAAAGACTTTAAAATGTATTATTTGCTTAAGCCTTTATTTCCTTGCTTAACCAACATTTAAGTAACATTATAACTTAAGAAATATGTAATATGTTTAAAAAGTATACGCTTTGATAAATATTGCGTAAGATCAAAAACTATTAAATATCTTGGAAAGTTAACATTTAATATGTAGTAGCTCAAACCATTAACAACAAAGCATACTCACTACAATAAATATACAAATTTTAAATAGTCGTTTGATTAAAAATATCAAGAGAGGGTCCACCTACCCATGGGCTCATCCTCGCTGGCATTGTCCTCCACAAAAAAGGACGACTTCATCAGCTGCATTTTATGCGGCTCATTACCAACCATATCCTGGGCCAGGGCAGCCGTGGGGCTGGTGATAGATGGCCGATTGCGCGGCACATCAAACATGGAGAAATCCGAGTTAGCTCCGGCTTGGAAAAATTCTGCGAATCCACAATTAGGCGAAATTCAATGGTTAAAGCCACAGGTGTTTACAGTATCTTCTTACGCGTTTTGTCCATTAACAGGAACTCGGCGGTGTCATCCATTGGCCGGAATCCGCTGGCCACTCCAGCGACCAAGGCCTTAGGATCCAGGTTACGGGCGGCCTCCTCTGAAATCTTCTGCGCCTGGCGAAGCGAGTTAAGTGTCATCTTTTCAGCGGTTGCCCGCTGCTGAGCTTCAAGAGCAGCCATTTTTGCTTTCTTGGGGTCGGTGGGCACCTCGTCCTCCTCGTCACTGTCGCCGAGTCCGTATTTGGAGAAGTGCTTGACGCGGAAGACCCAGCTGCCTGTTTCCGGGCGGTACTCAATAAAGCGCGTATCGTTCTTGTCACACACCCGACGCAGTTTGCCCTCCCAGTCCATTTCGAGCAGGCGTTGCGGCTCCTTGATGGCCTCGTGCTTAGTCTTGTCCAGAGGCCACACCTGGTCCAAAGTGACCTGCGCGTCTCGGTTCAGGCCATGACCGATGGACGGCTTATTGTCGTCGTCGGGATAAATGATGATCTCCTTGTTGCGAAAGTGAACTGAATATCGAGAAGAAATAATGTTTAAAATGAGGGGAATCCAATGGATATATAATCAAGTCCCTTACCGATCTCATCCAGGTTCAAACCAGCTACATCCATCTCTTTACCGAAGAAAACATTGCCGTAGCCCTCTCGACCCACAGTGAAGTTTGGAACCACACAGGATCCGTCTTCGGCAAGATAAGATCGCAGGTCGTCCAACGATGGAATTGTATAATAACCCATGCGACGCAACACAATGCCTGTGGGATGAGCCTCGTAGTCTGCCGCCTCAGCAGCGGCCGCCTCAATGGCCAGGCGGGAGCGGTTGGCCGTGTCTTCCGCCTCATGAGACCTGCTCGAGAGCACACTTTCGTTGGCCTGCTCCGAGGTGAAAGTCTCACGTCGGGCAATGGTACTAGCCTGATCCTCGAACGGGTTTTCTGGGATGGTAGATACCGAGAGGCGAACGGTGGATGACGGTCGGTATGTATCCAGCGCCTTGCGCGGCACCAGCTCGTTGAGGGTGCTGTTGTGGGGCGATCCCTGGTCCATTCCAGTCTGAATGTTATGCTGGCGGACCTTCTCCAGGTTGTTTGGATGCAGCCATGACTCCCGACGACTAATATCCTGACTGTCGCGGCTATCCCGACCATTTGGCGCTCCAGGGGAGTTTCCTGCTGGTGGCAGTGGCTCACTAGGAATGGCTCCGCTGAAAGATTCGCGTTCTTTGCTCGGAGTTGCCACTTTGGGGCGAGACTGGGGTGTGCTAGGACCACTGCCGATCGAGTTAGATGGGTTTCCGCTCTCCACGTTCTTTGCTTTGGGCTTGATAACCAAACGCTTGGCATTGGGCTTTAGATTAAAACCCTCTACAGTCGCATCGAATTCTTCGAGGCCATCGAAAAGGGATTTTCTATTCAGAGTGCTGCCCAGGGCCTTCACCTTCACTTGCGCCGGACTGTTCTTGGTGGCAATCTTATACTGGTTGCTGCTCATGTCCAAAACGGCCTGCTGAGCAGCCGGATTTGTAGCCCTGGTTGCACCTGTCTCGTCGCTGTGCCTCAGATCCTTGAAAATGGGAGAGTCGCCATAAGGTGAAGTAACTCTGGCCAGAATCTGCTGATGTATGGGCTGGTGCGAGGATGTCATAATACCCATAGTGGGCTGGGCGCCCATTAGTCCTCCGGTTAACGAATTATTTGTCCCCACATTTCCAAATCCACCGCCTAAAGAGCTGCCGACTCCTCCAAAACCGGTATTGCCTCCAAAAAGTCCTCCGGTTGGGGCAGCTCCCGTGCCACCCAAAGTAGTGGTTCCTCCTCCAAAAAGACTTCCTCCTGGCTTTTGCGCACTTCCGAAAAGCGATCCGGCCGTGTTGCCTGCGTTGAAATTAAGGGGTGCTGCAGTGGTGGCTCCAAACCCACCGAATCCCGAAGTTGCTGGCTTGTTCATTCCCGAGTTGAAGAGTCCTCCGCCCGTGGTTGCTGTGCTGGTATTCATACCAAAGCCTGAGAATGGGGTGCTAGCCGTAGAGGTGGCTCCGAAAGCAGGAGCAGCAAAGCTCGTAGCGGGCTTGCTTCCGAAGAGTCCTCCGCCTGCGGTGCTTGTGGCCGGAGATCCAAATCCGAATCCAGGCGTGGCTGCCGGTGCAGCAGTACCCAGTCCAAAGGCCGACTTATTTGGATCGGCGGCTGGTGCGGCTCCAAATAGAGTATTCTGCGAGGTAGTGCCCGCTGTGGATCCAAAACCTCCGAATCCAGTGTTGGTCTGCCCGAAGGCAGGAGCGGCACTGGTCGCAGGAGCCTGTCCGAACAGGCTTCCTCCCTGTCCGAAGGCTGGCTTCGCGCCGAATGGATTGGATGCATCCGCTGGCGGGGCAGCGAATGGCGTGGCGGTTGTTGCTCCAAAAGGCTTTTGCATAAAGTTGTTTTGCTGGGCAGGTGCTCCGAAGGCGCTGTTAGCCGTCGGCTGCTGCCCAAAGGCAGTGCTGCCAAACATGCTCTTGTTATCGGTCACCGTCTGACCGAAAAGCCCCGTACTCGGCTGCGTCGTGCTGCCAAACAATCCACTGGCTGCCGGTTGAGCGGGCTGGGCCACCTGAGCTCCGAATCCAAAGGCCCCCGGAGCACTGCCCGCCTGCGGACCCTTGCGCCCGCACACATAGTCTTCAAGGCGTAGCTCCTCCAGCGACTTGCCCTCATACTCTTTCATGGCCGTGATGCAGTGCTGCTTGGTGCTCACACTATTGGGCTGACCACTCTTCATAAGGGTATCGGTTCCGAGTGTGGGTTGATACTTGACTACGGCGGTGCCCGTATTGACTCCAGCCGCACCCACAGCTGTGGCCTGCGGTTGGGCAAAAGCCGATGCGGTGCCGCTCCCAAACACACTGGTAGTGGTGGGCGCAGTGTTTCCAAAGGATCCGAATCCTGTTGTGCTAGTAGCGGCAGCGGGCTGGCCAAACAAAGAGCCAGTTGGCTGGGCAGCAGCTGTCTGTCCAAAGGCCGTCATTGTCGGTTTGGCTGCTCCAAAGGCGGGCAACGTTGATTGGCCAAACAGCGAGGTGCTAGCAGCCGTCTGGGTAGATCCAAAAATGTTTGAAGTTTGCTGCGGTTGCGAGAAGGCTGGAAATAAGATATAGGCATTAAAGTAAAAAGAATCCCCTTATATTGTTCGTTTCTAACCTCCAAATGCCGTGGGCTGCGCTGTTGCGGTGCTCCCGAATCCAGTGGATGTGTTGGCGCCGAATAATCCCCCAGCTGGCTGCGCTGGCGTGGCTGCTGCTCCAAAGAGCGACTGCTGCGTTGGTTGTGCGGCAAAAGTGGAGGTGTTCCCGAAGGCCGGAGCCGCCGGTTTACCAAACGCAGACTGGCCAAACGGAGCGGCCGCAGTGGTGCCGCTGAAGCCTCCAAAGCTTGTGGCCGACGGGGTGGCTCCGAAGCCGGGTTTAGAGCCGCCAAACATGTTGCTCAGTGCCGATTGTCAGATATCTCACATATACTTGGTAAATCCCCTTTGTCCTTCAAAGTGCAAGCTATCGCAATGAGCAATGCTTCGATTTCACCACGTTGGTCAATATGGGGGCGGCGGAGCCTTTCCAGGTAATGGGGGAGGGCCGGGCTCTGTCAAATACAAATAAACAATCACGAATTTGCTTAGTTTGCAAAAACAGAGCGAGCCAGACGCAAAAGGTGGACAGAAATGGCGCGCCGATTTTTTCACGATGTTAAAGAAAATGCAGCCAACAGTGTGACCAAGGTGCGAATGCCCTGAAAACCAGTACACTGCAACAATTTGAAAAAGACAAGACAAATGTTTGATTTTATACCTATGCGCGAAATTAAAATGATTTCAATCCAAACGACAAGACACAAAATATATTGCTTAAATCTGACATATGTGTGTTTTGGGCATCAGAACTAAAATCTACGCCTACTACAATCGTATCACATCAGAATAAAATTCTGATTAATAAAAGGTAATCTCTACATAGATATTATATTGTTTGAATGTGATCTTAATAATAAGGTTACAATTATTTTGCATTTCATGAAGCACCATGAATATTAAAATGTATTTATTTTCGATTAAGATTGATTGTTGATATATAACTTAGCACCTCGATCGCCTTGAAATCCAATTTCCTTTCCGGCTATTCACAATACATCAAAGTTTTTGGCGGAATACTTAGATGCATCGATAAGGTTTAAAAAAAATGTTATCAAAACATTAATTGTTGATTTTGTGATTGAATCAAGTGAAAAAATAAAATAACACGGTTGTAATATTCACTTAAAAAGTTTGTTATAAAAATTCCGGCAATTAGAAAAAAATTGTTTAGTGCTATGAAAATAACAGAGTGCCTTAGAACTGGAGTGGAATTGTTAACAGCGCGTTGGAGAAGGAAAACATCGATTATGCCAGGCCAACCATCGATATCGCCGATATTTTGAAAACATCGATGATCTCATTGATAATCGACTGCACTTCCAGCTCTAGCTCATTCACAACAAACGAACAACGAACGGAGCGCGCAAGTTCTCTTCCGGAGAGCTCAATTAATTAACTGTGAGCCGTGCCCGCCGGAGTGTGTGTGCGAGTGCGTGTAAATGTGCGGGAGTGAGAACGGAGATAATTAGCTGAGTGGTAGCGGCCAACTCCCAAATCGAGAACAAAACGAGCGAAAAACAACGCAAAATGCATTAGCTAGCGACATTAGCGCGGAATGCAATCTTTTGTGCAATAATTATTTGTGGCTATTCGATTTGTTGCATTACCCGGTGTTCGTCGAAATCTGTAGCGAAATCGGAGGCGAAATGCTTGTGTTGGCGGCATTGTGAAAACGAAATCGAAATTTCAACTACGTGTTGCTCTTTTTGGTGTTGCCTAATTCAATGTGTTGTTGTTTTAATTTTCGCAAACGAAAGTCTACCGCTTTGCATGTGTAAGTGATCGTTCATTCGCTTGTGTTGGTGGTAAAAGTCGGCGCAGAAACAACAACAAATTAAAAAGCCTTCAAGATGAGTGTGTGGAGCGATTGCAATGCCAAGCAGGCGGAATTCGGCATTGGTGAGTTAGCAATTTAAGCGATAAATTTACTAGAATATGGCTAGTCAAGAATGTTTAGGCAAAGTGTTTTGTAAACAAGCATAAAGGAAAAGTTTATGAACTGTTAGCTGCTTCTTTCCAGAACCCAACCCCCTATTTGTCTTTCCTTCGTTTCTCCGCATGTGTGTGCCCCCTGCTGCGTTGCTACGGTAAAACTTGTTGCACCTTCTCGCTTGTACACGCTGCTGCTGTTGATCCTCTCTCTCTGTAATTTCGTTTTTCTTTCCATTTCATCCTTCTCATTCAACACTAACATAAAATTCTGAGATTTGCTCTTGAAACGAAAACCTGTTTTCCATCACCCGTCCCTTTCCTCTCTCACGTGCAACTGCAACACACTCCCAGAAAAAAGTGATACACAGAAAAAAATATTTTTTTAAACTAGATGCTTTTCCGGGTTAATCACAAATTTTCTGTTTTTGATGTTAATATTTTCGTAAGCAACAAATTTACTTGCTAGAAAATATTTAAACTAAATTCAAAGAATTTAATTTGTATTCATAGTGTGAATTTTATACAAACTTATATCAAAAATAGTATTTATTAAGGTGATCTAACCCAAGAATAGATGGTCAAAGAAAAAACAAGTAATATTAGATTGGATGCTAAAATGTCAAATATTGAAATAATATTGAACAAAAAACATTCAAATTCATTGGGCAGGTGTGGGTTTTAAACTGCTAGACAAATCTCAATTCATTGGCAGCGACCATGAAATATCTAATCGCGACCCGCTTCGAATACGTGTGAATTTTTTATGGCTCCCGCTTTGTTGACCTTTTCACCGCTGATCAATAGATACGACAGGTACAGGGCGCAGGTACTATTACAGGTAGACTGAGTGGAACTGAGAAACTCACTCGTAACACTCGAATGGAGCTTCCCAGTGTTTGCGCTTGTTATTTACACATGTTTGCCTCTGTCTCTGCCCTTTTTTGTGTTTGCGCGTGTACTAACTGTCGAAATCGTGGCGAGTACCCGGTAATACCGGTGGGGCACGGTAAGGTGGGTGGTGGGTTGTGTGTGCTGGTAAAATGTAATCAACTGCGATAATGCTAAATATGGGGCGGTAGATAAGTTAGTCGTTGGCATTGAGTTGCGATTTTGGCCTTTGTAATGCGAAATGCCTTACAGCGTATACGAAATTGAAAAGAAACGCCTTATCAAAGAGAGTTTGATGCCTTGTTGTCTTATCGCCGTTTTCCACTTTGTTTACCTGCATTTGGTTCTTCTTTTTGAATTCTAAGCAAATAACTGGCTGTTCCACATATTGTAAAATATGTTAAACTGAGGCATTTTCTTGGCAGCTCATCCATTTTGGGAATTATTAGTTAAATATAGCTAGTCAGAGACGATAACCATTGAGTAATCGCTTTATAACTTTATGAGGCTCATTTCTGTTATCATCTATCGATGTTTGCCTGTGTTGGTGGGTGGCACTGTGCTAAAATTTTTTTCTGTTGCAGTGCGAGTGTGCGAGCGAGTTAAAGTTGAGTCCTCTGCCTCCTGCTTAGCGGTAGTTGTATTTACATATATGCAGACCCCCTCCATCACTCCTGTTGAGTGGAATACTTCAGCTCTCTTGCTACCTCATCCCCACGCACAGTGGGCGATTTCTGAAATAATGGTCGCAAAAACTATATTGTAAATATATACACTGAAATACACACAATTCAGAACTTAAAATTTTTGTATATTTTTAACGAAAAACCAACTTGATTTTGCTGACTCTAAAGAATGTTTACTTCCCATGTTCTCTTCTTTGTAAATTAAGGCACATATACAACTTTTAAAAACAAAAATGTTTTATTTTATACCTTTCGGAGACAAAATAAACAAAAAACACAATCTTAAAAATCTTCAGGTTTAAGAAAACGCAAAAAATGTATTTAAGGTTTTTAACATATTAGTAAACAAACTTTTTTGAACATTCCACTGTGACGCCTCGTCTTGCTTTGATGATTTGTCTGTTTGAGGACCAAGTTAAAAGTTTGCCTGCGGTGACATCTTCACTTCCTTGCTGCACTACTCCACTGTTCATTGCCTCTTGGTGTGCACCTGCAGTTTCCCCTCTTTCCCCCTCAGGCACTCGCTTCTATTTACTCACTCCATGGAGATGCATTCTACATTTAAATTTGAATAGCAAAAACAACAACCGCGTTAATAATAAATACAACAACATCAAATGAAGGGAAGAGCTGGAAAAGTAAACGTAAAACTTAATGAGGCCTGAGAGCAGTGGTGAAAAGTGGAGTCGAAACTCAGGAAAAATATCGAGGGGCATAAGGGGCCTAGTGGATTTGGTTTCTGATTTCAGAGTCTGGGTTTTCTCAATTTAATTAAAATTTTCCAGCTCGTTGGAGTTTGTGATGCATGAAGTGCCTTTTGATTTGCATAATTTCAAAGAAAGGCTTTTTTCCACTACCATTTCATTACAACAAGTGAAAACTTAATCAAATTTGGTAGTGAGGCGAAAAGGTCTTCTCAGATTTTTATGTAATAAAACTTAATATGGGATATTCTGATTATACGTTTTTACTTGTTCACAAATTAAATAACATTTTTTTAGGAATAATTTACTTATTATAAAAGTTGTTTTTTGAGTTTATAAAGTATTATTTTAAGTACTTTCAAAAACGAAATGTGAACCAGGTGATTCTCTAAGTTCGCAACCAAAGCTTCTCGAAAATCACTCAATAATTTCCAAAGTTAATAAAACAAAACACTTAACCATATTGGGATAAAAATATTGATTTCTAGGAAACAAAAATTGCTAAAAATATTATAATCAAAAAAAAACATCGAGAACTTACCCTGTAATCTGATTATATCTTTGAAGTCTCTGCCTCCATAATTTTGAAGATAAACAAGATAATGTTACTCAACCGAAGAAAAGTCCCCTCGATTCATGTTATCATGAGGCAGATGCCCTTCCTTCGATGCGGCTGCATAATTGTTTGCGCTGCTGACTCAGATCAGGGAACATTCATCCCCCGGACTTTACCCTCACATGTCATCCTCCAACTCCGGATAGTTGAGCAACCGTCCAAGTGAATGCGCATCCACTTGTAATTCTGATTCCACTTAGACTGCCACCCCAGAAACCCTCCACTATCAGCGTGCTCCCCCAGTGCCGGCGAATCTCCGCTTTCCATTTCGCAATCAAAATGGAAACACAATCGATGTACCCACCCAACTTGCAACTATTCCACCCCCATCCCAAGATTGCCAATGTCGGAGATTGTCGCATCTTTGGTTTCCCTTCTATGCTAATTGACCAAGTGCAATCTTCGATTGCTCTCGGAAATTGCTTAATTAAACATAAATTGCCTGCTGCAAAGAGCAGTTATGGGGATCGAATTCGATCGGGGGAAAGTGTCCAGGGAAACAAGCAACGGGTTGGGGGAAGTGGCCGCATCATTGGGGAACAGTGCGTCATCCGGTATCAGTGGAAACTGGTTTCAACTGCTTAAGAAATGTGAGCTAAGATTCAAAGGTTACCAGGTTCCATTAAAATATTTTTACAGAAAAGTTTCCACTTTTGATCGCGTTTTAAAGTCATTAAAAACTATTTTTACGACAAATGCTTCTATGTTGCGATTTACCTAAAAATAAACTAAATTTACCATGGATGTATCTAAATACAAGAAAAAAATACAA